TAATCTACTGAAGCTTCATGGCCTAAATGCTATAAGTAAAGATAAACTTGACTCATTAAAACCGTCAGATTGTAAATTCCCACATATGTATGGGTTGCCAAAAATACATAAACCCAATAATCCTCTACGTCCTATATTGTCAATGTGCAAATCCCCAACGCATAAACTTGCTAAATGGTTAGTGGAATTATTGAATCCAGTCAAAACACAATTCTGTAAGTATGTGTTAAGAGATACATTTGAATTGGTTGATGTTCTTGATGATAGTAATATTAATATTATGAACAAGAATATGTACTCTTTTGATGTAAACTCGTTATTTACTAATGAGCCTTTGATCAAAACAGTTGACATTTTGTGTGATTATATTTCCACAAACAATTTTTTCATCCCGTTCCCTATATCTTACTTAAGGGATTTATTACTTCTATGTACTAACAATGTTAGGTTTACGTTTGAAGGCGATTGTTTCCGCCAAGTTGATGGTGTTGCTATGGGCAGTCCGTTAGGGCCCCTTTTAGCAGATATTTATATGTCGTACATTGAGAATTTATCGGAAGATTTAATCGAAAATGTGCCACTTTATAGAAGGTATGTAGATGATATCGTAGTCATCAGTGATAAGCCTTGTTCTGCCACCTCAATTTTAAATCGAATGAATGAAGTTCAGAATAGCATATCACTTACATCTGTCTAGAAGAGGAAGATAATTGTTTATCTTTCCTAGACATATTGCTTAGTTGACTGACGGCTTGATGGGTCAGTGAAAAGGTCTACTTATAGAAAACCTACCTGGATAGGACAGTATCTTAACTACACAGTTTCTGCCCTGTTCGGTACAAAAGAGCCTTAGTGAGTGAGGTGCATCTTCAGTAGAATCCGACGAATATGCACTGAAGATACGCTTGATGAAGAAGAAAGAATATTGACACAAACTCTGGTTGATAACAATTATCCAGACAAGTTCATCAGGAGATATAAAGTAGTTAGAACACCAAGACCCACTCTCCAACTCGCCCCTAAGAAAGACGTGTACATCAAGCTACCCGATATGGGACATCAAAGCAGCTTGATAACTAGACAAAGGCTGAACGCTGCTGTTAAAAAGACTTTTTATGCAGCTAATATCATAATATTAGAGAATGTAAAGCCATTATATCTATCTAAGCCCTTCGAACATGCGAAAAATGACGTCACATCCCACTGTATTTACCAATTTGAATGTACGTGTGGACACACATACATAGGGAGGACTCATCGATCTATGCAAGTAAGGGCTTCAGAGCATATTCCAAAATGGCTCCAGAAACAAATGGAATCATCAAAACCTATTAACGGTGAGAACAGGAGACCTAGCTCTTCTATTGCGAAACATATTATAGAGACAGGTCATAAAATTGATGTTAACAGATCTTTTAAACCTATCTATAAAACGTGTTTGGGGCGTATCCTAAAGTTTGTAGAAGCCCTAGCAATTAGAAAGTTCAAGCCACCTTTATGCGTTCAAAAACAATTTGTCATCACATTAAATCTTCCTTGGTAAATTTTGTTTTGATACCATAGCAGATGTACTATTACCTCTGCTATTTGGTTTAGTGGTCTTCATTTTTATTTTTTGACCTTGAATATGTCCTTTTAACTTGACCTAAGTCTATTTTCCTCACCTCTTACCTGTTTATTAATTTTTTATATATATAAATATTCCTATGACAAGTCCGTGTGTGATCAGATTGTTCGAAATGTGTTGCGCAAATACATTACACGATTCAGACAAATTACGTCTTCTTATTGCTTTATCTAAATTCATAAAGGGAACTAATTGTTTTAACTGATAAGTCTCAGTTTTGGAAGTGGGTTCCTGGAATATTAACTAAAAGTCAATTCTTTGCCGATATTTTGATTTTACTACGTTTCAATACCAAACAAGTGTGAAGGCTGATGACATTACCCAGTCACCCAGATAGATAAAAGTAGATCCATTGAATGTAAACTGGGTACTTGAGTCAAGGGAAGTAACTATAATTCACTGTGCTTTAGACACCACTTGTAAGTGATATAAATCAGAAGACCTGCTAATTTTTTCAGTTCATTGTGGTTTAAGGATGTTGCAGGATTGCCTCATGAGCTGAAATCAGTTAGGGAACCATTGGAAAACCTAGGAGTACTGAACAGCTGTTTCGTCCTGGTTTTTGGGACTCTTCATCAGTATGCATCCTACAGGGTTCGAAACCAGTAGTATATACTCCGAATAGCTCCTCACGATCTGCTAGCTCTACACTAATTATAATTATACTAATCAAGTGATTATTTTATACCATAAGAATTATCAGTTTCAGGCAAGTGTTTCGCATCTTCCTTGTACATTTATCAGTTCAACTGTTCTTGTGAAGCTATCTGCCTACATTTTGTGTATGTATGATAAGGCAAGTTCATCGTCGAATTTATGAACAGCCCCACACCCCCACCCCCACTCCATCTTAGTTTCGCAAAGATACGAATAAAGCTGCTATACTCAGCTCAATACTAGCTCATCTCGCCAATTCTCGACATTAAGTTGACACTAACAAAGCTTTCAAAATTATTTATCGTATATTATCCAACCTCTCGCATGGTCTACAAGTACGATCTTAACGCATACAACAGAGGTATTTGGAATTCATTTGAACAAGCCAAATCACTGTGTGCGTCCGAAAGAAATTTTTCCAGCCACTTTCTTTGCCATGGCCAACTACCATACAAACGATTTCCCCCCCCCCCCCTTGTAAATGTCTTTAGACTCTGTTATTTTATTACGTTTTAGAATTCTAGCTAATCCAGTCAACTTGTTTGTATCTAACGTAATTCTACTCAATTGTTTTATTCTTCTTAGTCATCATTGCTATTTTACAAATTTCTTGATTATGTAATAACTTGTTGCTAACACCTAAGAATCAGCTTATCTTGACTTCTATAATTATTTCCATTCTTCCGCCAAAAGTTAGATATTTTGTTGCTAAAGCCTAGTAAATAATAATTGTTTCGATGATTTCTAATCTCTTATTTTCATCCCCACCTATACCTTAAACTGATAATTCTTAGTCACTAAAATACTCACATGATCGATAAACATTTGATGTAAAACACTGTATACTAGTATAGGGCCTATGATTAGGAAAAAAATTGAAAAAGGATATTCAAGTGTTTATTTGCAGATATTTGATTTGATTGGTTACAGGGATCCATCATGAGCAAACAATGTTTGGAAAACTACTGGAAAACCACCTGAAAATATGGGAGAGCCGGCTGGTTCGTCCTATGTTTGAGACTGTCTTCATTAGTACACACCCACAGATAGGATTCGAGCCCACGACCATCCCGTTACAAGGCTAGCAGGGCTTGTAGACCATTCAGCCACTGGGACCCAAAACAATGGCCACTCAATGAATTCACACTCCCGACAATTCACGATATAGCACGATCAAAAGTCAATGTTATCGCTGGTGAGTATTTGTCTTCATATCCGACCATCTGATGCATCCCACTGGTCACGACTTCCCACCACCATTAGAATCCAGGTAACTACCTACCAGGTACCCTATCTGAATAGGATCAGTCGAGCTCACCTGTCTGTCTGTTTTCGACATAGAACTTCCCACTGATGTGCGGCAGTTCAAGTCGTCACACTCCCTCCATGTAGCACACAAAGCAACAGAAGAAAGTTCAAGAAATGAATAATAGAGACAGTAAGCAGAGGTGTGAGACAAAGGAATAGTAGTAACGAAGAACAATGTAGTTTCATTGGAAATCATAAGTCACAAGGAGTGGATGCATCTGTGTCAGCTATCGAGAACGATTTAGAGCCATGTCACCAATAGTTTCCAACCATTGGTTTTTACCATCCCAAGGACCCCAACCAATCAGGAAGTCTACACCTTCCTACGTGACTGGCTTAGACTAACTGTTGTAGACTTCATTGACTGGTACCATGTTTTTGTTTGACCTCCGCTAGCTCTTCTCCAGCCTGACCAATCCTATGTCAGCTAACATTAGCCATTGTCGAGGAAGGCGATGACTAGGCGTGCACGCGTAACACATGTCCTAACCATCTCAGTTGATGTAGTTTCACAGCCTCGTCGACTGATTTCCCCTGTTTACCTAGAACTCGACGCCTAACCTCAATATTGGTCACCTTATTATACCACTTCACACGGGAGATAGAACGCAGGCACCTATGATCAAAGACAGCTAATCTTTTCCCGTCTTCCACTCTCAATGGTCACGTCTCACAGCCATAAAGGAGGAAGGAGCGGACTGATGAGCAGCACAATTTGCCCTTTGGTCGATAGTCGGATATCTCGTCTACGCCAGAAACGGTGTAAACTGGCATATGCGAAACTAGAGCTCTGTATCCGTGCTGAGGAGCTCACCTTGTGACCGTAAGGTCATGGTATCGAACCCTAGTGGTTGGTGCGTGTTAATGAAGACAGTCTCAAACTAAGACAAAACAGCTGACTTTCCCGTACTTTCAAGTGGTTTTCCCGTAGTTCTCCAACCAATGTCAGCTCATGATGGAATCCTGTGAAAATTCATACAATTATACATGAACTATTTCGTATAAAACTATGCAGTAAATATTACTGCCGCTCAATGTGAGACTTTTTCAAAATAAATTTTCTCCACAATATGTGTAAATGAGAATTTTGCAAAACATTAAAAACTCATAAAGTGAATTTCAAACTTTAAGGGGGGGGTTGGAGTAATCCCCTTGACTCTTCATCATAGAAATTCGTGATACGTTTTCAAAGTATTGGCAACGGTTAAGCTGTCCTCTGTCTTTTCACATCACAGCCATACAACATGCCTACGTTGCATATTTAACACACGACTAGCTAGAGTAGGAAATAGCCTTGTCCCTGCCAATTTATTAGACATTTGAATAGAAATATTGATGAAAATAAAAAAAGTAACTAAATGTCAAGCAAAAAACGGTAAAAAAAACAGTTCAACATATCTCTACATACCTTTATTGCATACTTATTCGCTATGTTTAATAATGGCAATATTAAATCATCCACTGGTTTGCCATTATCATCTGCCATTCCTGGTGGATACCATGAAACAACTAGAACACCTAGAGAGTAAAGAATAAAAAGACAGGCTAATGTTGTAATAACAAAAAAGGAATAATGATGAGTGAATAGTGATGAAATGAAAACATAAATCACAGCAAGATTCAATATCACAGTACACTAGATGATTGAAGGCAATCGGCAAACAGGAAGCCGCCTTGCTTGAGCTAGGTTTCATGCTAGTTGGTATTTACTAATCAGTCTGGAAGTCTTCGTCACTCAGCATCAACAATAAAATTCAGTCGGATTTTCAATACAAACGTCAAGTCTGTTCTCCTATACGGATCAGAAACTTGGCGGATGGATCACAGAGAATATTTCCAACAGCCTGTTGCAGACCTTCATCAACAACTAACTGTCTTCGCTGGCTCTATACTGAAGATCAGATGACCGGAAAGAATCAGCAACAAGAACGCATCACGCAACATATATATAGGAGAGAGTGGAGATGGATTGGACACTCATGGCTGAGGAGGCCGGTTGGTGATATCACGCGTCAGGCCTTGAGTGGAACCCGAAAAGTAAGTGGCGAGTGGGACGTCAGTGAAAGGGTGACATGGAGGGGATCGTGTGAAGAGGAGTTGGTTGAAACAGTATGGACTAACACGGATGCAGGTGAAAAGTACAGCAGAAGGAAGACAGAAGTGGCAAGTGGAGACGTGGAGTTGAAGCTCTATGTTCCACTAGGAACCCAAGGGAACAATATTAATAATAACATCAAGGTGTATCTGCAGGTACCTTGAAGGAACTCATGTCTCCCTCCTGATAGCCAAACCCGTGTCACTCAATACTGCTTGCAGTCAAAGACGCTACCACCAGTGAGTTATTCGGCCTGGCTATTGACCTCCTGTAGGGTAACTGTATTGGATACTTTTGAATGGACATTAGTAGGTAACTAGCGTGTCTAATCAATAGTGTCATAGTACATTGTAAGAATCACTGTATTCCATACAGCAATAACAACGATTATACAGAATGGAATTTGCAGCATAGGTATATATATATATTACAACAATTTAACACTTTTAATAACTATACAGTTGCATAAAATTAAAAATAATAATGATAATAATAACAATAGCAACAAAACCACAGAAACATAATGGACTATAAATAGATAATACAAGCAAAAATAATAATAATCTTTGCTTATACTTCGTATATTTAGTAACTTATTTAAAAAGTTTGTAAGTTCTTTTCTGATAACTGACTCTTTCTCTCTCTTCACACAAAACCCACCCTAAATATAATGGTGAGGTAGAATTTCTTATATTTTGCAATGTAAGTATAAATTCTTATGAAATTTCTTCTGGTTTTAACCCGTTAAAGATTAAAGAGAATGTTCAAGGTATCAGATTAAACAGTTTTAGCTAACTCCTTGCAATAATTACAAAATTTCTGTCTACAAAACCACTAAAACCTACTTACAGTCTTCAGTGTTCTACTGAATATGGCATAGTCTTTTCCGAGAAGTCCAGCGAACAATCAAGGGGAACAGTAAAGGAAAAGAATGGGTGAAATACATGATTTCGGATTGTTATCAGTTAGAGAGAACCATTGAAAACCAGCTGGGAGTACTGGACAGCTGCTGTTTCGTCAGCCTAGTTTGGGAATCATCGTCAGTACGCACCCACCACCAGGGTTCGAACCAAGGACCTTCCAGTTATAAGGCAAGCTCGTAGACAATTCCACCGCTTGGACCTGATTCAGTGACAATTCAAGAAATCCCTATAGTTTCTACTTGATCTGAATGCAATTTTTATGCGAGAAGTGCAAGTTCAACACTCAGAAACTGAAGTACACAACCACAAAGGACACTTTCATTGCAACTATCAGAACAAAGCAGGAAACACTACGTGACATCACTGAAGAATAAGGTGTGGAAGACCACTGGAACTCTCTGAAGGTGATTTTCAACGAAACGTCTTCAACGGTTTTAGGAAGAAAGAAGAGACAAGACAAGGAATGGCTCTCAACGGACACTTGGAAATTAATAGAAGAGAGGAGAATGCTGAAAGAGAAAATGATTCAATGCAAGGACGGACAGGAGAAGGAGACGATGAGCTCAACCTACACAGCACTGGACAAAGAAGTGAAGAAGAGTGCTAGGAAGGAAGGACAAAAGACGATTCTACGACAACCCCGCCACTGAAGCTGAGAAGGCAACAGGCAAAAGAGACCTGAGGACACTATATCAGATAAGCAAGTCTCTATCCGCGAAGAGATCAACACAAGCGAAACCTATAAAAGACAGCCTAGGGAACCCCATTACCAAGGAAGAGAAACAGATTAAACAGTGGGCGGACCACTTCAAAGGACTCTTGAACCGACCATCACCTGCAACCCCTCCAGAAATACCAACAACAGCGCGCACAAAACTGCAAGTTGACACCAATCCTCCAACGAGAGCTGAAGTCTTGAACGCAATCAAGCTTCTGAAAGCTGGAAAAGCAGCCGGACCAGACGGAATACCCCCTGAAGCACTGAAAGCAGACCCAGAGACGACAGCAGACATGCTGACTCCATTATTGCAAAAGGTCTGGAAGGAGGGAAAGGGAGACTTATGCCCAACTCTGCAATAACAGGCGAGGAATCATGCTCCTGCCGACGCCAAGTAAAATCCTGAGTCGCATCATCCCGTAGAGAATAAATGACCCACTGGATGCAGAACTCCGATAAGAACAACCTGGATTGAAGAAAGGCAAATCATGTTCTGACCGAATTGCAACTCTACGCATCATTATCACAGAACAAAGCATGGAATGGCAATCAAACCTCTACCTCAACTTTATAGACTTTGAGAAGGCATTCGACAGCGTTGGTCGCGAAGTAATTTGGAAATTACTCGAGTACTACGGCGTGCAGCGCCTAAATATTCATCAACCTTATTCAACAGATGTACGAAAACGGCACATGTCAAGTGATCCACAACGGAAAACTCAGAAAGGCGTTTGGAGTAAACACAGGAGTCAGACAAGGGTGGATATTATCACCAATGATGTTCCTAATTAAGGTGGACTGACTGGATTATGCATCAGACAGTGGGAAACGAGAAGACAGGAATATCCTGGACCGACGCGAAGAACCTAGAAGACCTAAATTTCGCGCGTGGATGATTTATGTTTGATGTCACTGTCACAAAATCGAAGCCTTAGAAGCGAAAACCGACAAACTGGTTGAAGAAGCAGCCGGCGAAGACAGGACTCCAAGTGAACATACACAAGACGGACGTTATGAAAATAACAAACCACCATCAACAACAACAGCCACGGCATCCAGCGCCAATCACCATCAACGGGAGGGATTTGATGAGGTTACTTCATTCACTCATTTATCTAGGGAGCATCGTCTCAACTACAGTCAGTTGTAACAGACGAGGATGTCAAATCGAGCGAGAATCGGGAAGGCGAGAAACACATCCATCTACCTGAAACCAATCTGGAAATCTTCGTCTCTCAGCATCAACAACAAAAGCCAGTCGGGTCTCCAATACAAACGTCAAGTCAGTCAGTTCTTCTATACGGATGAGAAACTTGGCGGGTGGGTCATAAAGAATATTTCCAACAATTTGTAGCGCTCTATCAACATAACATAACATAACAATTTCGCTTTATTCCAGAAACAGTACTTGTGGTACAGTGTGGAATTTTCAGCACATATCTACAATATTGCATCTAATTTCATCGTACATTTAAAAGGAGTATTATAAAAAAAAAATAAAATATAATAAAAACCAAAAAAAAGAAACAGAAATAACCAAAAAAAATGCAAATAAAAATACTGAGTAAAAAAGAAGACGAACACAAATAATGAAAAAAAATATTTCAGTATTAGTTAGTGGAAGCTACGATATGTGTATGCGTGGTGAACAGTAACAGCTATAATCATACGGGAAATTATGAGATGTTCTTAAAAAAATGTTTATAGCCAAGATGATCAGTTAATTTGATTGAACAACACTAAGCAATCATAAGATAAACATTTCAGGTTTTTTTTTTGTCAGTACTAATGCGGTTGTTTGTAGTGGCAGTGTGAGGAATCATGCATAATACAAAATTTTTAAGATGGTGATAGTGGCAATAACAAACAAGATTGTCAGTTAAATAGTGCCGAACAAAGAACAACCACAAAACTAATGTTACATGATGGTTAATGACGGGACAATTTTTAATAATCATAGTGATAATATAGTCGGACCCAGTAGATGTACAAAGAAGGAATAGAATAAAGAATAAAAATGTAAGCCAATGATAATAATTTTAAGCAGCTAAGTATGTTTAAGAAGGTTGTTCACTATAGAGTACAAATAAGAGAGTGTAAGGGGGAAAAAAACAAGGGCCAAAATTATGTTATTAACAACAAAGCAAGTCATAGGTTTCACGTCTAACATTGTCTCTGTCACTTAGAACACGGGCCAAATATGGTATCGTTGAGTTCCTATACTTGGTTGTGCGAGCATATATTATTTTATACTGATTTCTGGTTCTACCTGATGAGATGCAGGGAGAGAGTTGGGAATAGAGGGGGTGTTGGGGGTCAGAGAGTATGGTTTTAGACCATTTCTCACATGTATTCAGATGCTTATCCACTAATGTTGTGACGAGCTGACTGAGTTTTACACCGCTAGTCCTGCTAACTACCTTCAACATCCTTCTCAGGATGGTATAATCCTTTTTCAGTAACCCAGGAAAGACTAACGGGGAACAGTAAAGTAGAATAGGTAGGATACGAGAGTTGACAAATTGTGTAAGCAGAGGTTGAGGGACTCCAGTTAGTCTGAGTTTCTTAATGTAGTAGGTTAGACGAAACACTTTCTTGGAAATCATTTGGATATGAGATGACCAAGTAAGGTCGGAAGATATAACTAATCCGAGGTATTTTGCATTAGACTTTGTTTCAATTATAGTCCCCTCGATTCTACAGACATCATGAGTGCTTACTAGTGTTTGTAGATCTCGTTTATGCCTAAAGGAGAAGTCGACAGTCTGGCATTTTGAGGGAT